CTTTCCAAGTCTTTGACAGTAGATGTTTTTGGTAAGGGGACCACATCAGCCAGCTTCCAAATTTGAGGGACTTTACAACTTTGAAAGGAAGAATTGATTATATTTGCAACTGGTGAGGCGAGAATATCCGAATAGGTTTTTAAAACCCAATTGGAAATACCGTCAGGGCCACTGGAACGCGATGTACTAATTTCTTGCAATTTTCTAGCTATAGTTGACTCGGTCACAATAATAGGCGTTTCATCGTTGTGTACAATTACAGCCGTATCTTCAGATAATGGAACATAGTTCTGTATCACATTTATGAAAACATTGTTAATTTTATTACTGAGGTTTATGTCTGTCTCCTGCCATAAATCTTGATGGAGGCGGTCTTTTACACTTTTGTTGTTATGTTTAGATGTGCCACACAACTGCTTCACTTCCCGCCACCAATCTCGGGGGTTAGTGTTACGTAAATTATGAACTTTTGATTGATAATAGCTCTTACGACAACGTTTTCGTTCACGATTAACTTTATTACGTAACATTTTAAAAAGAGTGACATTACCAGATGCAAAGGCTTTTTGTCGTCGATTTATCAGTGATTTCAGATTGCTGTTAACCCATGGTCGATCATTAGGGTGGACTTTTATTGAACGTTCAGGCATAATTAAGTTCAAACCATAGTTTATAATGCTAGTTAAAAAGTATAGTTTTTGATCATTTGAGAGTATGGACGATAAAATGTCCCATGGAATTTCCTGGAGAAATCGACCAAGACTTCTAATATTACTGGGTCGCTTGTCTCTTGTTTTAACAATACGCGATTGTGGTTCGTGCGATCTTTTCCTCGTTCCAGGACACATGGCAATTGTTATATGGTCTGATAAGCCAAATGGAGGAGCACTAGTAGGAGGTGAATAGTATTCAAATAGATTGGTATAAATTTGATCAAGAATATTGGCACCTCTGGTGGGAAAATCAATTACTGGTTTTAGTTGAAAAGGTTTAACAGTAGCCTGTAAGTCCAATTTGTTGAAATCACCGGCAATAATGATTGCAGGGTTAGGAATTGAAGATTCAATATATTCTAATGAAGATTGGACATAGTCACGCATACTTGTACAATCGGCATCTGGAGGGTGGTACACAACAGCTATTATCATATTTGAGTAATTTCGTGGAAGTCGTTTTGGTTGTAAAGCTAGCCACAATACTTCGTGATTATCACTATCTAACTCCGTTAGGCGGTTGCAAGAAATGGTATTGTTAATATAAAAACAAACCCCACCATGGGATTTGTGTTGACGATCACGCCTGAATAATTGGTAATTTGTAATATTAATAGCTTCATCTGGAACGGATTCTTTTAACCATGTTGCGCTGAAAAAGGCAATATTTATATGATTCGAAGTAAGAAATACAGCAATTTCATCGATTTTCGGGGCTAGCGACATAGTGTTTGACAATAATATAGCAGGTATACAAAATGATTAATAAACCTTTCTTTCCGCACACGGGACAGACCTTACGCGTTCGAGGCATGCTATCAAATGAATGTTTCCGAGCATACCACTACCTAAATAGTCCCTTTGGGGACTAATTTTTGTCCCCGGATGTCCCCGGCACAGACGAATGTCCCCACGGGGCCATAATTAATAACATTAGTCCCTATTATAGCCGATTGTCCCGTTAGAAAGTCCCTCCTGGGACTAATTTTTGTCCCCGGATGTCCCGGCACAGAGAGTGTCCCCATGGGGCCGTAATACCAACACTAGTCCCTATTATAGCCGATTGTCCCTTTAGAAAGTCCCTCCGGGGACTAATTTTTGTCCTCGGATGTCCCCGGTACAGAAGAATGTCCCCATGGGGCCATAATTACCAACATTAGTCCCTATTATAGTCGATTGTCCCTCTACAGATAGTCCCTTGGGCGACTAATTTTTGTCCCCGGGTGTCCCCGGCACAGAAGAATGTTCCCATAATTACCAGCAGTAGTCCCTATTATAACCGATTGTCCCTCTAAGAATAGTCCCTTTGGGGACTACTTTTTGTCCCCGGATGTCCCCGGCACAGACGAAGGTCCCAATGGAAACATAATTACCGATATTAAACCCTAATAAAGACGAATGTTCCTCTAGGGAGAAAATCCCCCAAAATCCCCGCAGTTGTACCATTACACACATAACTTTTATGTTTGAAATCATTTATTAATTTAAAAACCATAAGGCAATGTATCAAAATTATTTACAATCACACGTTTATTATATACAATACGATAGTCCTTGTTCTCACTCCTCGTCTTTCCACTTTTCTCTTTAGTATTTCTATTTATTTTGTATGGTATATTTACAGTTACTTTCTCGGGACCTTCACCCCTGACCATGCCAGACATGACGTCAAAGTTGACATGTTGTTGGGTCCTGTAGTTTAAGGTGATCCCTCTAACCTTGCATACTGTTTTGTCTGTGCTTGTTTCGTAGGCATAGTTTTTAGGACCTCCAGACACAAAGGTGGTAATGTAACCTCCATCTAACTCATCTGTTAATTGACCAATATAGGATCCTGTCGGCGGCTCCCATTCGTCTTCCTTTGAAACATAAATTACTGAGTCTGTGTCAAAATATAAGACTCGGCGATTTAACTGCTCCAGGACACCATAGAGCTTGAGGCGGGCGTGGGCTGTGGTGAACGCTGCGATGACCACATTTGTCTTTCCATCGGATTCCACGAATTCGTCAACGTTTTCAAAATGGACTTCGATGAGCTCGTCATTGATGAAATTTGCGTCGGTGACGTTAATCTGATCGCTGGATAGGAGGTCAAAATATTCAGCTGGATCCGATATGATTTTGACCTTGGTCATGTTGGGTCGTTGCGCAAACTTTCCTACAAGAAATGATAGGTTTTTAACAAACACTTGTTTTTTTCAAATGAAAAACAAGTACCATTAGTGGACAATTTGCCATTGCACTTACCCCAAAAAGAGCTCAACATGAGCTTCGCCAAAGCCCTCCAGTCGCCCAACCAGGATTCTTCACAATCTGTCTTGGATCCAGCTGAATACCTTCTTTTGCGGCGTAGTCAGCGATGTACTTCCCCTTCTTCTCGTCGGTGTCACATTCCGGAGGAAAGCCACTTGCCTGCAAAAGGAAAAGGAATCATAAGGAACTAATGATGTGACAATATCACACATGTGATAAAACCTTACCTCTTGTTTGATTTTGAGGAATGTATCAATATAGTCCTTAAACAGTCCATCCGTGTGCTCGGGGAAGTGCCAAACTTCGTCGACTCTCATCAGTTCGTAGCCTTTCCCTAGTGCTTTCTCGAGCTCCAAAGTCACCCACGTCCCATGAAGTGTCCGCTCGGCGTCGCTGTGATGGCATGGCTCTTGTTGAAGGTTGTCGGCACAGGTACGACATAACGGGAACATCAATTTACCCTGAGTATGGTAAGGGAGGACGGGGTGGTATAGGGCACGAGGAGGAAGCACAGAACATTTCACCAAACCAAAGTAGTCACTGATAGGTTGAAAGTTCTCAGTAATAATCTCGGGATGGCCAATCGGATACTCGCCGTATTTGTTACACCTAAAAATTGCTTAAGAAGGTTAACGACAAGCACGTTTGAGTTAAAAGACTTTAACAAGATACATACCATGGGTAGAGGCTGCAGAAATCCAAATAGCGGATCTTCTCTTCTGGCTGGACGTCGTAGTATAGGCGTGTTGCGTTAGTTCTTCCACCAAAGAATGCATGACGAGGTTCCAGAGGTTCAGAGATCTCGAAATTGTCGAAGAAATCACCATATGGACGATCTGTGCAGATGGTGAATTGGTTGACGGATGGTGACAGTGGTTTCACGATCCGTCAACCATATATTCCACATTTTCGTCTTGAGCGTACGATTAAACCTTTCGACAATCGATGCCTTGGTCTCGTTTTGCGTCGTGAAAAACCGGATGTTATGTTTCTTCAAAAAGGCTTGAAACTTTCGATTCATAAACTCTGTCCCTTTGTCGCTGTGAAACGTTTCAGGCTTTCGACCTTTTTTAAGTATTTTCTCAGAGGCTTTGACAAGATTTTCTCCAGTCTTTGTTTTTATCGGTTCAGCCCACGCATATTTGCTAAGTACATCGATTACAGTTAAAATGTACTTAAAGCCGTTATTGTATTTGCTTATCGAGTCCATAATCACAAGATCCGCCTCCCATTGCTCGTCAATTGCGCCTACAACAACACGGTTCCTTTTGAAACGATATCTTACAGGTTTATGTAAAGTATACATGTCTTGCTTTTGTAGCCATAGCCGTATTTTATTCCGCGATATCTTATGTTTGCCTTCGTCTTTTACGACACGGTAAATTGAATCTACGCCACCAAAGCTTGCGGGACTTTCTGGATTGTAATAGATTTGGCTCAGGTACTTTTCTACCATCAATGTCTGAGGCTTGAATTACAATTTTTCCTCCACAGCAAGCGGAAATACAACAAACTTTCCGAAAGATATCTCGGAGGGAAATTTCTGGAAGACTTTTACCACAACAGGGCATCCTTTCACCTCAGAGGTTAGAACGAAATGCACCATGCAGCAATCATAGACTAACATATAAAGCTATTAGTGTAAGTGAGAGCGTTATTAAAATTGGTGGTTTATTATTCCTCTTCGCTTTTGGGATATGAAAAGTTCGAAAGGCCTCGACATGTTCTCGAACGCTTTCCTCGCTGTCACTTTGCATATAAACTAAAGCTAAATAGGCAAAAATGCGACCAAAGTTTGTCATATTTATTTCTCTGTAAACTTGGTCAAGGTTTAGACTATGAGCACTCACTTGACGATATAGATCTCGATGGTGGTCGAGAATTGCATTTATATGAAACGATAAAGTCTGCATATCGATATCGATTTCATTTTGTCTCAACTCGTCAAAAATTATATTTATATTATTCATCTCACCAGAGAACCTCTCACCATAAAGGTTAAAACCCAAATGAGAAAAAGTGATTTATCTCAATAACATACATAACACATTCATGATGATAAAAACAATTTATTTCGTTTATTACAGTTATTCATATTTCTTAAGGAATTCTTCATACGCTTCCTTAGCATTAATGTTAGTACTAGTGAATGTTTCTCCCGTGTCTTCATTCTTGTATCGATATTCTAGCGGGTCACTGAATAAGACGAAGCCAGTCTTGGCCACACGAGGTTCGATCTCTTTCCATTCGAAAACTCCACAGCTGTCTATCTGAGGGCAACAGTAAAACAGGCGGTTCTGTGTGGGTCCTTCTTTCTTCACTTTACGTACGGTGCATACCATCCCGTGCTTGCAGCGTGGTCGAGGGCTTTCGTAAATGTCTCCCCATTGCCAAAAGTTGCAAGGATCATGTCGATCAGAACACGTGAAGAAGGGTCTTCCATAATTATCTTTCAATTTATCTTTTACCACACGTAATTTGGCCAATCTCTGATGTGTTGGGCAAATGGGATGATTGGAACCACTATTCTTACAGGCTTCCATTGCTCTCGTGAACAGATAACAATCTTCGTCATGGCAAAAGAACTCGCAGCTCGGTGTTTCGCCACAAAACCAAAACGTACCACGAGCAGTTGTAGAACAAGCAGCTGGTTTACCGTGAAAACATTCCATCGTGAGTGTTGAATACAGACTATGCAGGTGAAAGGACGCTAGCTGTATTTATAGTGATGTTGCTGCATTGTGATGCTAATTGATCGCCTGTCACAGTTGGCCCAGACTTGCCCGCGTTAATTGGTCGCGCTACCTGGCGTTATAGATTTTGCAAGCTCATTATAAATCCCGCCAGAGTGTTAGCCGAACAAAGTGACGTCATAGACTTTGCATACTAATTAATTTCGACACCTAAGTTTGCATACTAATTACTTCCGCCGCCAGAGGGGGGTCTTTTACTACTCGGGTACTGCGATTTTAAGTCAAATATCATAATTATCTTTCAAGTACAATACTTTTATGCTTCACGATTTTATACATTAATTAATTGCTTACAGGAGAGGGCCGGGGGTGGAGAGTGGGTGGTGCTAAACAGAGAAATTACGACAACTAACAATCTTATTTATTTTCTAAATCTTTCCTCGTCAATTTTATTGAGTCAAAGTTGGTTAGTCCAAACCTCAAGGGCCAGCCTACCAATTGGTTACGCTGACTGGAACTTCATTACAACTCTGTTTTTGTATCAATCAATTTCATCCTCAAACGGCTTTTCGCCAATCCAATTTGTGCAATCATCATTCTCAGTTTATAAAAAGAACAAAGAAGAAGGAAACAGCCTAGTAGGTTATAGGAGGTATTGTTATACAACAGCATTTCGTGACGTTTGCAATCTAAATATCTAATTATAATAACTTGCGCATACAACGCGCGCATACCAAGAGAAAGGGAGTTTCCGTCTGATCTAATTAGCATTGACAACTTTTCCGCAACACACTGTCCATTACTCAAGTAAATTTAAATTTGGTATCCAACACTAAGACCCAAATCGGAACAAAATCAACAGATTACCTGACTCAAAACTCAACAGATTACCTGACTGATCAAAAGGTCTCAAAACATCACTGCGCTCCAAAATCTCCAGAAGCGTATCCAAAAGTTTTGGTCAGAGGGGGGTGGGGGGCGGGGGGCGGGGGCAACAAAAACCTAGGTGGGGCCATGTTTCACTTCTTTTTATAGAAGAAGGCTATTTTATAGGCTGGCCTCTCGGCCCCCAACCTGGCTAGGCCTCTGAAAACGTTTTGAGCAAAACCGTCATCGGCTCTGACTCCAAAAGTTGTCCATCATCATCATCTGTTTTCCATCGCCATCGATCTTTAAACAATCAGGGTAAATATTTTATCTACCAAAATGAAGTCGCAAATCGAAAAAAAGGCCAACAGATGATTAACACGAGAAGCTTTATATAACATATCGTTACTAACATTTTCGAAGAGCAGTAATGTTTTCATAAACAGTAAAGTACTCGGTCTGGGTAAGGTAATCATTTGTTGTAATAACTTGAACAATGTGGGTCCAGTGTAGATCAAGGTTGTAGGAATCACACGGTGCAAGTAAAATTTTTCTTTCAACTAGCTGAAAGAAAGGAACAAAACTTCTCCGAGTTCAGGTTAAGAGAATCCTATTTATCCACATCGTGTTAATCATCTGTTGGCCTTTATTCCGACTTGATACTTCATGTTGTTAGATAACATATTTACCCTGATTGTTTGCTGATCGAAGACGATGGAAAACAGATGAGGATGAAGGTAATGATGATGACGATCATGGTGGGCAACTTTTGGAGTCCACTCAGAGTACTGATGACGGTTTCGCTGAAGTCATTTTGGAGAGCAGTGATGTTTTGATAAATAGCAAATTACTCAGTCTGAGTCAGGTAATCTGTTGGTCTTGTTCCGATTTTCGTCCTAATGCTGTTGGATAACATATTTAAATTTAATTGATCGAGAATGGACAGTGTGTTTCGGAAAGGCTGTCAATGCTAATTAGATAAGACGGAAACTCCATTTCTCTTGATATGCGTGCGTCGTATGCGCAAGTTATTATAATTAGATTGCAAACGTCACGAAATGCTGTTGTACAACAATACCTCCTATAACATACTAGGCTGCTTCCTTCTTCTTTTTTTTTTTTTTATAAACTGAGAATGATGATTGCACAAATTGGATTGGCGAAAAGCCGTTCGAGGATGAAATTGGCTGATACAAAAACAGAGTCGTAATGAAGTTCCAGGATTGGACCAACTCAATAAAATTGACAGGAAAAGATTTAAAAAATAAATAAGATTGTTAGTTATCGTAATTTCTCTGTTTAGCACCACCCCCTCCAAACCCCCGTCCCTCTTCTGTAAGCAATTAATGTATAAAATCGTGAAGCATGAAAGTATTGTACTTGAAAGATAATTATAATTATGATATTTGACTGAAAATCACAGTACCCGATGTTGCATATTTAAAGAGAATCAAACCAGTGCAAACAGATTCTTTGTATATATTAGAAACACTCCCCCCCCTCCCCCCCCCAAATGATAAATTACGGTATGCGTGTCCTAGATTGTTTACAGGGCCGTACGCAGGATTTTTTCACCAGGGGGCAGTAAGGTCTATATGCCGAAAAAAGTCGCAAATATACGAAAAATAATTAATGATATTCTAAAAATCGTAAATATAGTTTCCTCAAGGCCGTCAAGGGGGCCCCCTCCATGTCTCCCCGCTGTGTACGGTCTTGAATGTTTAGGATTGTGATAATATTTAAAGCCTGAAAAACAGATTTGCTTGCGAACGTTATGTAATTGTTGTAGTATAAATATCAATCATATTTTTTTAAAAATAAGTTATTATTGTAATGTTGGCTTGGAAGTATTCCTGGCCTCAGAATGTTTGGCGAACTCCATTCAAGTGCACAGACCATAAATGTATCATATACTTTTAAAACACTTCGATGTCATCTTGTTTTATTTCAGCCCTGCTTTCGCACATTTCATAAGTTTTCTCTTGTCCAGGTTTGTCCAGTCCTGGATTGAGATCAGTTTTTCTAATCTGCGCGTGCGCATTAAGTGTTTTGTGGTCAAGCGCATGCGTATTTGCAACACAACAATGGCGGCTCACGGATTTCAAAATTCGAAGAAGCATGTACTTTGGAGAGGTTGTACTTCAATTTGTGCAACTATTTCGCTTGGAGGGAAGTGGATTCTAACTAAGTAAGTTCTAATCTATCCATTCATGTAAAAATTATGTAGTTACATGAGGGGTGCTACGGAATTGAACATTTTCAACCCTCATCCAACGGCCTAGTTGGAATCGTGCATCTGGATTCATTGGTGCAGGGGAGCATTCAGATATGAAACGCAATAACCCATTATAGATGGGTAAATGGGCACGGTCATGTAATTTTGAATAGCCTTGCGACGTAACAACATAACTCAAGCATGCTAGTGTGAAAAATCAAAACAATGTTTACCTGTCTATTCAATATAGTCTCTTCATTTTTATGATGTATATCTTCAAACAGGTGTTCTTTTTTTGTTGCATATAAATCAATCTCGTTCCTCGAGCATGCCCGTTCGCAGAACGAAACGGGCATGCTCGGGAACGAGATTGCATATAAATAAGTGTGCACCACAAGCCTAAGACAACACTTTAAGTAATTGCATTAAAAGGGAGGTAGATTGAGCGAGGTTGTGGTGAGATTTCTGGAAGGTGAGCGGTTAGATGCCTCTGGTTAGGAGAGATTATGATATTCATCGTATATTCAAGGTGACTGTATGATGATATACATCATACAAATGAAAAGGATGTACTATGGTACTGGTCTATATGAATCTATACGGTGCTTCGATTAATCGAGACGGTGCTCTTTAATAATTGTGTTCTTATTTGAGGCGTTTAATCGCTCAAAGAGTAATTATGATAACCTCGACTAAAGCGTGCGGAGGTAAAGACCCTGGCTTATGAAGTTGAACCTCGACAAGTTTTGAAAATAGCGAATAAAATTCAAATGAAGTCAAAGAATAAAGTTCCAGTAGTCCAATATAATTCTGCAAATGTGACCCTCCTTGGGAAAACGTACGTTAACGATTTTGCATTAAAACGGGCAAAAAAACGGTTAACGAACGGATAGTAAACGTTTTGTCAAATCGTTTCAACGGATCATAAAAACGTTTTAGACGTTTTGAGTAAAAAATACGAACGGGTAAAGACAAAAAATTAAACGGCTGTACGAACGGCTTTAACAAACCGTTCGAACGAAATTAAGAAACCGTTCAAACGATATTCGGTAACCGTTTCAACGGATCTGCACAGAATGGTATAAAGCAGTGAACAATAATATACAAAAACGTGCAAGTAGGCTATACACTGATCCAGAATTAACCAACACACATTTGTCCAAAAGCATGCGTATAAGCACAAACAAAATAGATCACTTTAGTGTTTATAAACGTTTCAAGTTTTATCGATTTCCGTACCAACAAATTAAGAGACGCTAAAGCCGGAGACACGCGGCGGTGTTTTTGCATAACACGACACAGCTGATATACATGAGACTTAAGCCCGTGACTTAAGTAAGGTCTCTACTGTAAACGCGATTATATACGATTATATTTATAAGGCCTAAAACTAAACGTATAGTACCTGTAGCTATACGACACAAGAACTAGAACCATTATCTGTGTTGATGGAACCTGTCGCGAGTGCTATATTGTCTCAATTATAGTAAATGGCTCAGTATCAAAAATCGGGTGTCCATTATAGCGTATTGGTAATTTCCTCTATATTAATGCCTGTGAAACACGGCACTGAGATCTAAAATGCTCAGTGCATGCTGAGTTAAATTATTGTTACTAATATTTTCCATAATTAATATATTAGTTAGCTCCGGAATATTAGGGAAAGATGCAGTCACAACGGATTTAATAGCGATAGGCCTATATCTGTTAAAGTAAAAGGTCAAGATGTAAAGGTATATAAACCAACTATAAACAGTTTGAACAGCAAATAAACACAGCATGCACGCAGCAATTAAGGTATATTGCAGAGTGCAGAAAACAGAATAATGACGATATATTGGTATACTGAAACATTTGATGCTCTCCTTAAAATGTACTCCATAAACATGTACTTCCTTGAAATGCACAAAATCCTGTGAATTTAAAGTCATTATATCACGCTATTAAACTCACTTATCATTCATGTAGTGCTACATACATGCACCAACAAAAACACGCTCACATATCCTATGATTATAGCACGAAGTATTTGACTTCGTTAAAGTTCATTTTATAAGTAAGCCGATACCTTAATTAACATGTTATATATAATATATATTTTATTCACCTACTTTCTTCCAAATATCGTGTGGTAGTTTATATAGTAGCTACATCTTTTTATATCAGCCTAATCAAGAAGACCTTATCGACCAATTCCCTATTAGCTATGTTTTGCGCAATCACAACATCGCTATTTAAAACGTCTTCATAGCATAAACAACTATATATATAAGGCTGTTCCTGACTGGAACGTTTGGAAATTCCGCGCCAGAGATTTTAAAAATTTAATAGTATTGTAAATATAGAAAGTGTTAAAATTGCGCAGTCGATATCTCCGCCGCGCGATACAGACATTCCACACTGGACTGGCTGTTTTCCCCTATTTATTTTGGGAAATGCAAAAATAGCTTGGAACACTTTAATATACACAACCTTTCCTGGTGGTCTTCTATTTTATTTTATTTAAAGAAATCAAAAATAAATAATGATTATTGAATCGGCATAAGTAGTTGACCACCAGGACTACGCTAACCTTACGACGTCTTCTCACTTTTGATGTCGTCCGTTTTAGTAAAAGAATACATAATGTATCTTCGTCTTCCCAAGTAACGTATCTTCGTCTTTTCAACTATCGAACTTACAGTCGCACGCAGGTATACACTCTATCTATTGGCGCAATTTGAAATTTGCAAGCTAATATTTCACTTGACATTGATGTCAACTTGCATAAGAATAGCTTGATAATATTATACATGTTAATTTAATTATGCTTTTGAGAGAGTTGAATTTCACGCAGCTGGAGTATTTTCCAATGACTGAAGAGACGTCAGCACTTCTGCGGCTTTCTCATTTTAATTATAGTTGAGTTGAGTAAAATGGAGTGGCATGCATGTATGATATACTATATAGTATCACATTATAATGGTTTATCGAAACGGAAACGGCGCAAATCGTACTCAAAAACCATGGCCGTACGAGGCACTTTCCGTTACAATTCTGAATTTATACACAACACTATTCGGAAATCTCAACTATTCGTTGAGACGCCACTATCCTGATGCAATGATTCTGTATATAGGTTCGACTATAATCATTTAAAATTTGTAATGATTGCAGTAATATATTTATTTAAGGCTTTAAAAATGCTTTAACGTTTTCGAAAATATTTTATTTTTCTAAATTAGGTAGATACATAATATTATATATTTAGGAGAACCGATCAGCATCTCAAATTATGTTTTTATAGAAGGTGTCTGCATGCATGCGAATCATTGAAATACCAATTGTATAAAGTATAATAATATGCATG